TGATCAATAAATAGCACAGACTGTATGTTTAGGAAAATAAATGTTTCATCTCTGTACTCATCACTCTCAAAAAGGAACTCTTTACACTTTTTACTTCATGAGAAAGTAGGAATGTAATGGTACCTGTATTTGCAAAAAAACAAAACAAATGCAGAACATGTTTGAGTGTGCAGAACTCCATTTGAAATGTCCAAAGCTTGAAGAGCCTCCACTATAATGAAACTCTACTGCTTGGGAGCATTACGGTTTTTCAGTTAGCTACAGAGATGATGGATCAGATGGTTCAACTGTGATCAAGTCCCCAACTGGTTGTACATCAAATTTCATCACTCAAATAGAAACATTAGTGGTGCAAGAAAAAAAGAGACATTTTGGCATTCAAGCAGCCTCTTGCTAACAATTCAGGCCAAAGTGAACTAGAGAAATGTTTTTAAAGCAGCAGATATGCAACCAAACACGCCGAAGTTCCCTCTTATCCGCATTTCAGCCAGCAAGTCAAACACAAGCAAAATTGTCCACGACTTGCATCTGCTCATGACTGATGAGGTGAAATTTTAGAGCTGCTGAGAGTTACCTGACAGCAATGGTTCAAGTCGTACATTTTCTAAACGCTGCACCTTGGTGGATTTATATTTATTTAAGAGAACTTTTATTTCAATTGTTTTATTTCCTGAATTTCGCCTGCAACCAGTTGTAGCAGCATTGACAGACTCTATACAACCATCCATTATCTATACACCGTTTAATCCTAAGGGTTAAAGATGGTCCTCACTCTCAATCCCTAGGATCGTGTGGGGGGCTGGGGGTCTATCCTCAGGGTGAAGGCAGGGGACAGGTCACCAGTCCATCTCGCTGCACGAGGAGAACATGCAAACTCCACACAGAACGATCCCAGGCATCCTAACCGGGATGCAAACCGGTGAGGCGATGGTGCTAACCACCAACCACCGTGTAGCCCAGACTCTTTACAGATAATCTTCAAAAAAAGAAAAGAATGAGAGAAAAAAAAGGAAAAAAAATTCCACAGTTTAACGTACTTCTTGCTTTCAATATACCGAAAACGTACCAAAACACAACCTCAGAGCCGAACAAAGTTTCCAACAGACTCCTGCACAATCAAACTTGCAAAAATGCATTCATTCGGACATTTTCTGTGCAACAGCTTCATCCAGCACCTTCTGCCACAAATTTATGCATATCAACGCATCAGACAGTAAGTCTGAAGCCTTGTCATCGCAGCTGGACTGACCTCTGTGAGCTCTAAAGTCACAATCAGTCAGCAGAAGCAGATCTGACCTATTTAAGACATCAGGAGAGGAAAAGCTTCTATGACCTGATTAGTCATGCGAAGGATCAATACAGCGACATGCAGCCAACAGCAACACGCTGCCCTCCCCGGACATGTTTATGGCTTTAATTCAGGATCTTATCTAGAGTGAATCATGATAACAGGGGAGGGTGAAAGTAGCTGCCTTTTAGAATGTGACGGGAAACAAGTGCAGGTTTTACACTGCAGACCAAACAACAAATCACACTGTTCATATTATCTAGTGATGGTGGAGGCTGTGATTTGTGCACGTCATTGCAAACTGCTATTCTGAGCTTCACATACTGCACAGTGATGAGACACTATTCATAGGAACTGATGCATGTGTGTTCAACATTCAGTAGTGTGGTGTTAAAGGACACCGTGGACCAAGACATGAACATAAAGGAAGGTGAACTGGGTGGAAGGAAATGCATGAAAAGCATATCTTATAAATGCTATGAGTAGAAATTAGGAGATGATTTTGACTCATGTGATATTTGAAGTTTCCCCTGCAGGACGCAGCCCAGCGTGAGAATCTATCACGAGTCAACAGAGCTCCACTGGAAACACTTAGTTCCCCCTGCAGGAATAAAGTGACAGCACTTGTTCTTTATCCGCAATCCTGGAGCTTAATGCAGCAGATGTGATTTCGATATCAATAGTCTCATGATATCATATTACAGAGGAAACGAAAAGAGCATTGATGGAGTGACTGGGATGTACTGTGTTTTTAAACTGGCTCATTTAAATCCAATATCCAACTATAGACACGAAGCCATTGAAAAAATAAAATGATCCATTTTAAAGTACAGACGCTGCACTTTTCTCCTGCAGAGGAATATCAAAGCCTCATACGCTGTAAAGCCTCTTCATCATCACTCATGTTTTTCCCTCATTCTCTTCCTCTATTCTTCACCGTATTGATCGACCCATTTCCTTCTTTCTCTCTTTACCTGGGAGATCCTCTGTGCTCCTGTTCTTGCTCTTATGCTCCCATTATTTCAGTCTTTTATTTCAAGAAATAACTCAAAAGTGGACTAAATAAATGTGTCTCTGACCTTAAGACGACGTACAAGGACTGAATCATACACACGGAAGTCATGTTTCCATTATTTTGACCGATGTTGCAATGTGAGCAGCATCTCAGTGGTCATTTTTACTATTGTTTTCCACTATATAAATAAAGCTGATGTGATTTTTGCTGGAGAACATGAGATATACGCTGCAGCATCTCTGCAGAACCACCCCGGCAAGAAACATGTTTGTTCCAAAAACATTTAGAAAAACTTCCACAAAGTTTTAGCCGTGTTTTCTGTGGCAAGTGTTATTTTTTAATTCTCAGAATGTTCTTCTTAAAGGTGACATTCTTAAAAATTTTTTCGATTGTTGCTCCTTTGTCATCATGTAACATTGTGGGAACGTTTTATAGAAGAACATTCTCGACAGCACAGACACATCCTCAGAATATTACAGGCAAAATATTCCACTAACATTACAGGAACATTATATTTTGCCATCTGAGGCCTTGAGAACATTATTCAAACATCTTTGAAATGTTGAAGTGTTGGAATGTCGGAACATTACTTAAAATGATAAATATCTCTAAAATGTTTTTTGAATATTAGACAGAAATGTTTTCTTCAAAACATTATTAGAACTTGTAGGTAATGTCCGCCAGCGTTGTGGGAATGCTCCCTGCTAGCTCTGACAATGCTTCATTTAAAGAACCCATATAATGCTCATTTATGGGTTCATTTAGGTTATTTTTCTTTTTCTTTTTTCTGTCTACTAGAACATGTTTGCATGCTTTAATCTTTAAAAAACACCATTTTTCTCACGTTGTACATCGTTGCTGCAGCTTTTTTTTTTTTTTTTTTTTTTTAAGCTCTGTCTCTTTAAGGCTCTCATTCATAAGCGCTCAGTCTGCTCTGATTGGATATCTGACGTGACAAAGGGAGCTGACATTGGTTACTCACCATAACTCCAGATCTTGCAGCACTAGCAGAAGCTGCTGTATGCAGTTGATAATATGCTGCTATCTTCTTTGTTTTGGGGCCAAACTAGCCACTAGTTAAACGTTATGCAAATGTGTTACATGATGACATAGATAAGTAACAGAAGAAAAGTCTGGACTTCAAACAAGGCTTTTAAGTTAAAAAAAAAACAAAAACAAGTGTGTAGTTCGGTTTTATATGCAGAAACAAGGCCATAAAACACAATGACGGACAGAGAAAACTCCAAAAAGCAGAATATGGGTCATTTAAAAGGGTCAATTACTTTAATAAAAAAAATAACTGCAGCTCCTGCAATCTAGATATGATGCTCGTCAATGTTCTGATTTTGATAATATTTCGATTAACTGTCCGAAAAGGCATCATAAGTTCTACTGAACAGCCTAAACTGTATTGTAAGTCAGTTAGCAGCACTTGCTTTTGACTGGACATGTCAGAAATACCAGAAATTCCCTCAGTTTGTACAGAAATGTTGATATGAATTTGACCTTCTGTGCTACAGAGGTCTGTCTCTGATCAACTCATATCAAGCAGCACCAGAATGAACCGGTTTTACTCCAAACTGGAGGGGGAAAAAAAACCTTTTACACCTGAAAAGAAAAACAAAAAAAGTGAAATATTTTAACATCTTCTTGTCAAATGTTTGTTGGTGAAATAAATGGGTTTCCTTCACTGACATCTCTGGGTGGCTGGAACCTATTAAGCCTCTCCCCCCCAGCAGTGTTTTGGCAGAAGTCTCACTCTGCAGAAATGACAAATCACCAGTCTAGCATAGATGCACAGTCACCCACAAGCATTCTCCAATACACCTGAATCACACTTTTGGTGAAGAAACAATTGAAAACAACAAAATAAAGGATGTGAGCTGAGCCTGCGTCTTCTTTATGGTGCAGCGACGGTGTTAGCAGACAGACAGACACACTGCAGGTCTACGGACTAAAGGTGAGTGTAGCTGAACACTGGTGCTGCACACGTACCCAACAAGTTTATGAGCGTATAATGGTAAATAAAACACAAATTCACTTGACTAAATTAAATATAAATCAATGATTCCTGACAAATGAGTTGCACAGATGTGGGAACAGGACTCACTTGACAGTACTTTATTGATCTTTGTCTATAGATTCAGTTTTCTCTGCAGACTGTGAGGTCAGAGGTCAACCCAGAGCCCCATCTGATGATTGATTATGTCATGATGGAATAATAATCATTTCAATAAATATTTTATCCAGAGTCCTTCAACTGTGTCCAGTATGTTTTGAAAGACTAAAATGAAATGTATCCAACACTTGGCCTGAAGGTTCAAACTTCATGTCACTGCAGCCTGGAACTTCTGTCAAAGCTCATAACGCTGAAGGATGAATGTGTGTAACCCCAGAGTCAACTGCTTGTCATCACATATTGCATCCAGGGACGCACGGTGTGAAAAATGCATGGAACTGTGATACTCTCTTTGATCACTTTAGCGCAAAAAAACCCCCAAAACAAAACACTGACATCTATTAAAAATAACTTCGATTTAGAACAAAATGTCTTTTCTGATGACCTCCAGTATGCTGCACATTATATGCATTACATTCTGGATGCAGGAACTGTAACACATCAACCAAAACGTGTGCCAAGTCATGAACAAATCCTGCATTTCCATCAAATTCCCACCATCTGAACACTTGACCTACCTTGAGCGATGGCTATGGACTCGAACCTGTGCAGCTCCCGCAGCAGACAGGTGCGCTCGGACGGATGCAGGCTATAAATAAACTCCTTGGCTCCGCGGGGAGAGTTGAGCGGCTCCACGGGCTCCTTCAGCGGGTGCGTGCCCAGGTGACACCGCTGCACCAGCACGGGCAGCGGCGGCTCCGAGGCGGACCGCGCCGGGGACGCTTGGTGGTTTCTGAGCCCGGCCGTGGCCATCCCAGTCCCGGCTCTGAGGGAGAAGGCAGGCCGCAGGACCGTTCGCAGGCAGGGCAGCATCTCTGCGGTGAGCGGTGGACCTGGAGGAGGAACAGCGGCCTGGTTACTCTGAGCTCCTAAAGCAACATGACTCTAGGAGAATCATCTCCACACAATTCATCGCTGCAGAGATCGCAGTAAAAAAAAACAAAAAAACATGTATACATCAGCCTCCTGAAGCTGGAGCCCAACGCGGGCCTCGGATAACGTTATTTACGCACGTATGGATTCAAGCGGATTTTACGCGTCTGTTGGGGGAAACACAAAGCAGAAAAATAACGTCCACAAACTGAAACTTGACTTATCGGACGCACCTCAATCGATGCTCCGCTGTCCCGTCCAGCAACCTCCTCAGGAAACCTTCAGAACACAGCAGCTGCTCCGGCGCATAGACGCTTCTGGTTCAGCGGCGGTGACAGTTTGCGGACAGACGCGCAGAAATCGGGAACATTTACAGGAGCTGGTTAGTATTTGCAAGTGCGGATAAATCACATTTTTGCGAACGGCTGCTGTAGTAGTGTAACCTCTGGCTGACAGGCTGCTGAGGAGCGGATGGGAGGGAACTTAAAGCGACCAGCAGCCCCGAAAATATTTTCCAATCGCAGCGCTGCGTTGCTCCGTGCGTAACTGTGACGGCACCGCCAGACGTACATTCAGTAGAGATGGACACGAGACTGTACTGTATCCGCGTTTTTCCGTGTCTAATAACGCCACAGATCTGCTCCTGCATAATGGAGAAGATGGTTTTTAAAAGATCAATCTGTATTCTCGCGAGAAAAACCTACATATGGGATTAATTCAGTGTTTGCAGTCACATTTATGATCCATTTACTGTGTTAAAAGTGAAATATAGGGATGAATTCCCACCTACGTCATTTATTCACATAACAGCCAACAAGAAGAATCTTTTAAAGTTTCTGTTTTCATTTTTCCAGCCTGGATGTGATGTTACCAGATGAAAAACAGGAGTGTGTTTGTGTGCTGGGTGTGTGCTCATCCCGCCCTCTGCTGTTACACACGTGGGGCATCTGAATTATTCAGCCAGACAGGAGTCCACACCCCGAGAAAATATGACACCATGTGGAAGTCATTTGTTTCCAGGAAGAAGTCTGCACCTAAAAACAAAACA